AGTAGAATGTTGGACAAGATGACATTATTCTATGATAAATTAAGTGCTATAAATATTTCAAAGAATCATGTTCAACACAGTAGAACTAAGCATATTGATATTCGTTATCATTTCATCAGGGAATTTGTGGAAGATAAAGTTATGAATCTTGAGTATATATCAACTGAAAAATAAGTGGCTGACATTTCACTAAAGCCTTGGATGCAAATAAATTTGAAAAGTTAAGGGGTGCTCTTGTTATTTTCATATGTAAAAGTCTATAACAGTCAAAGCTAGGGAGGCGTGCAAGGAGAAAAAGGAAGTGCCTCTCTCCTTTGGTCTATGGTGCACGTGAAATGAGGCTAATTATGAAGCTGCCTTTTATCTGGTCGACCATTACAAAAAAGAACACATTTTTGCTCTTTCTCTTTTAGACGCAAAATATTGTTTACTCTCCATTCTCTCTTTTCCATTCTTTTCAAAAACTAGTTAATTTTCTAGAAAAGCTAAGATGCTTGAAGACAAGTCTGGGAAGAAGAGTAGGGCTCAAGAATCAAAGAAGCATGAAACCGAGGTGGATACACATGTTGGACCATCTATTCCAGCATTTGTGACTGGGAAGAAGTCTGTGACCAAGATGAAGTCCTTGAAGAAATTGACTCAAACACTGATGAATACTTGATTACTTTTATTGATTCAAGAGAATGGTCTGGAGATCAAGTCTGAAGGTTGTTGATTATAGGTGTTTTTGCATAGTTTTTTTGGCCCTTGTATTTGGGCATGTTTTGGATCTAAATGGATTGTTAACCTTATGGATTTTTTGCCAATAACAAAGTCTGGATGTTCTAACATTTGTGCTTATGGTTGGTGTTTGTCTACTCCTGACTAATATGCTCACTAACTGTGCTTATAGCTTTGCCAAATTGTGGGAAAAGGGAGGGCAATGGTGGGATGGTGTAGTTTTATGGTGTGATTGTTGACTTACTTTTTGGTGTATTATGCTTATATATACTACTAATTTGGTGTGCTTAGTACTAACTGGCTGGTACTATGTGTTTAGACTGTTGTTTGTTGTGTGCACACACGTTGGAGCATCTGGCATGGCATCTGTGTGTGTTGATCTCTTTGTGTGTTAGTAGTATCTTCTAAATTGTGACTGTGACTATTAATTGTGTGCGCGTGCATGACTGACTGATCATGAGTGATTGCATGTCTTGATTATTTATGGGAGCATCATTAAGTGATTGACTAATTGATGTATAACAACCACTTGACCTACAATTATTCTTTTACTATAATACCCTTTGAATTAAAAGAGTGAAAATCACATATCATTTGTCATTTTTTGGAACTTTCATAAAAGTTGTGCAACTTATCGCATTTTTACAAGTTCTTTTTTTTCATTAAAACTTTGCGATTTTACCTGCATTTTCATGCTCATACACATGTTTAGGAAGACAATGAATTGTTACCCACATTTATGAAATGTCCAATAAAATCCCATAATTTACATGCATTTCAATCAGAGATTTTGAAGAAACTGATAAAAAATAACATGCATTTTAAAAAATCCTATAAAATTACATACATGTGTATATTTCAAATATTCTATTAAACACTGACACCCGTCAGCTTTTTCGAAAATAATTGATAAAAATGCATATCGAATTTCTCTATTTGCCTACCAATTTTTTTGAGTGCATACCACATTTTAATTAGCCTACCAGATTTTTGGCACACTACTTTCCGACAAAGATATTTTTAATATTATAAAAAAATTGGAGATGTCAAGTTTAATTTTAAGAGTGCATAGACAAAATTTCGAGATTCTAACATGCCAACCCTAGAGTTATACATGACACCCCGTATTTTTTAGCATTTTATGTTTATATCCTCAAAAACTTCGGAAACATGAAAAGTTTTAATGTATACCGAAAATTTTGTTTAAAACACACATATTTTCTATAAAAATTTGTTATCTACCAGAAATTTCAAATTTCTGATGACTTTACAATAATTATTGGAATTTTTATAATTTCTGGTAATCACCAAAAAATTCTGGAAAGTACAAATTTCCGGTACACTGTCGACATGTGTTTTTTTAATTGATTTTATCTGCACATAACCGAATCAATAAACATGGTACTTGATTAAACATAGACATTTAATAGTTGTCATAAAAAATGGTATAAAACAAATTAAGATAACTTCCTCTTCCCAATGCCTACAGCGATCCGCAAATACTGATTCTCATGTTTTTGCATTATCACTACAATTCTCTCTCCAAAGGACAGTGACAGGAGGCAGTGGGCAATCAAGTTTCAAGTTTACCTGAACCTAATGATTGTTGATAAAGCCAATATCAATGATTTTATGCCTGCTCGTATATATAGGTGGAGCTAAGGCTAGAGGAAAAAAGGTGATATTAAGTCTCATGGAAAGGGACATGGAAAAACTCTCAGCCTAAAAGGACATTTCACTTTCATGCTATAAACATCGTCAGATGAGTTTGTGTTTTGACATGCATTCTTTCTCTTATAATTTCCTCATCTCTCGTAACTCATAATCAATTTATCCTCCCTCCCAAGGATTCCATTAGCCGAATCATAACGAACAGTGACAACAATAATACCATGTTGTTTCCCAATAACATGTGTTCATGCTGACACATCTGATTGAGTCTTGAATATCTGTCAATTTTGAAATATAAAAGTTAAATTAACAGTTTCCTATAAACGGACAAACATTTTGGAATAAGATTTGTTAAATAGAATACGTACATCATCAGTGATGAAAAACTTTATATAATCTGTACAAGAATCCGTAGAAAAGGTTGTTGATTGTTTCGGTTGAGGACCGCACAAGTAGAGAGGATCATTTTCGGCCATAACAAAAATTACAGAGTTGGTAAAATTTCCGTTAAATCAGAAATTTGAAATTATTTAGATTTTTGAAATGTACTGAAATTTTAGGAAAAATTCGTTATAATAATAAAAAATTTGAAATTTGTATCGTCAATTTAGAAATTTCTGATATATCACTTTCGGAAATTTCTAAAATACAAAAAATTTCCAATATTTTGCCTCAAACAATATCGGAAATTCTTTCTTTTCGAAAATTTTCCCAAAGAATTTTTTTCCACAAACCGTAATTTTTAGGTTAATAATAATAGAAATAATTTGATCAATACGAAAATACATAAAAGTATTAAAACTAATACAAGGGGGTGCATACCACATTTTAATTAGCCTACCAGATTTTTGGCACACTACTTTTCGACAAAGATATTTTTAATATTATAAAAAAATTGGAGATGTCAAGTTTAATTTTAAGAGTGCATAGACAAATTTTCGAGATTTTAACATGCCAACCCTAGAGTTATACATGACACCCCGTATTTTTTAGCATTTTATGTTTATATCCTCAAAAACTTCGGAAACATGAAAAGTTTTAATGTATACCGAAAATTTTGTTTAAAACACACATATTTTCTATAAAAATTTGTTATCTACCAGAAATTTCAAATTTCTGATGACTTTACAATAATTATTGGAATTTTTATAATTTCTGGTAATCACCAAAAAATTCCGGAAAGTACAAATTTCCGGTACACTGTCGACATGTGTTTTTTTAATTGATTTTCTTTGCACATAACCGAATCAATAAACATGGTACTTGATTAAACATAGACATTTAATAGTTGTCATAAAAAATGGTATAAAACAAATTAAGATAACTTCCTCTTCCCAATGCCTACAACGATCCGCAAACACTGATTCTCATGTTTTTGCATTATCACTACAATTCTCTCTCCAAAGGACAGTGACAGGAGGCAGTGGGCAATCAAGTTTCAACTTTACCTGAACCTAATGATTGTTGATAAAGCCAATATCAATGATTTTATGCCTACTCGTATATATAGGTGGAGCTAAGGCTAGAGGAAAAAAGGTGATATTAAGTCTCATGGAAAGGGACATGGAAAAACTCTCAGCCTAAAAGGACATTTCAGTTTCATGCTATAAACATCGTCAGATGAGTTTGTGTTTTGACATGCATTCTTTCTCTTATAATTTCCTCATCTCTCGTAACTCATAATCAATTTATCCTTCCTCCCAAGGATTCCATTAGCCGAATCATAACGAACAGTGACAACAATAATACCATGTTGTTTCCCAATAGCATGTGTTCATGCTGACACATCTGATTGAGTCTTGAATATCTGTCAATTTTGAAATATAAAGGTTAAATTAACAGTTTCCTACAAACGGACAAACATTTTGGAATAAGATTTGTTAAATAGAATACGTACATCATCAGTGATGAAAAACTTCATATAATCTGTACAAGAATCTGTAGAAAATGTTGTTGATTGTTTCGGTTGAGGACCGCACAAGTAGAGAGGATCATTTTCGACCATAACAGAAATTACAGAGTTGGTAAAATTTCCGTTAAATCAGAAATTTGAAATTTTTTAGATTTTTGAAATGTACTGAAATTTTAGGAAAAATTCGTTATAATAATAAAAATTTTGAAATTTGTATCGTCAATTTAGAAATTTCTGATATATCACTTTCGGAAATTTCTAAAATACAAAAATTTCCAATATTTTGCCTCAAACAATATCGAAAATTCTTTCTTTTCGAAAATTTTCCCAATTTTTTTTTTTACACAAACCGTAATTTTTAGGTTAATAATAATAGAAATAATTTGATCAATACGAAAATACATAAAAGTATTAAAACTAATACAAGGGGGTGACATGTTAAAATCTCAAAATTCTCATACAAAACTATCTCAAGGGCCCAAGAACTTGAAGCCCACCTTTGTGAGGCTAAGAAAAACCACCTCCCCTTTTGTCTTCTCCAACGTGATGATGTTTGCTCTTCTATGTTCTTTCATACTTCACTTCTTTCAAAATTCATGTCTACCTGAAACCAATCAAAACCAAACCGTTCCATCTCTTCGATTCAACCTATCCTAGGTTTTGTTTTTTGCACATTCAACTTTACACATATAAAAAAATGTTTGCTAATGGTTTTGTTGTAAACTTTAATTCTGTTACACCTTTCTTTCCAAGTTCTTATCAAAATCGACCGACCCATCATCAATTTTCTTCCGTAAATTCTCTTTTGAAGTTGAAAAATCAAACTTTACTCTCAAAATCTCAGTTCAAGATTTCCACAAGCTACAAACCTCGCTCCAGTTTTGTGGTTTTTGCAACACAGTCCAATTTTACCAAAGGTTAGTCCCAAGTCTTTTTTTCAATTATATCATTTTGGATTTTGGTATTTCTCTTGCATTGGTTTATTAGATTTTAGTTATAGTCTACGTAACATTGACACTTCTGAAAAAAGTTTCTGACACTTATCTTTAATTTATTTAAGTTTTCAAATTATTACTGGTGTCGCCGTGTCAGTGTCGGGTCAAATTCGGAGTGTCCGTGCTTTATAGGTTACAGTGGATTATGGTGGAAAACCCCGCAATATTGGCCGATATTTACCATTGGGGCGAGCCCAAAAATGGTCACGTATATCCACCATAGCGCCGCAATTGCGGAGATTTGATAACACCAATGAATATATGTGCGCCTATTTTGTGCTAAAGTTTAACTAATCACCAACACACAGATACCAGACACGACACAAACTTGTAGATATCAGTAATAATAAGTGATTTAAGGTATAACTACATGCGTGACATTTAAATATCTTGTTATTTCTTCCAATTGTATGCCTTTCATAGCTGCCTTTTCAGCTATTTTGGTTATCCAGAAACCCTAACTATTGCTCCATTTCGATTATCTTTGTGGTTACGAGATAGTTCTGCAGAATGCATGGAGAGTTGGTAAAGATGGAATCGACGCAGGCACAAATCTTGTCCCGGTAAGTTAGAGTTACCTTTTTTTTTCCTGTTTTGTCAGTTAACAGCTATAGAGCTATGGCATAGTGAAATTTTAACTAAACTATTATTATTCCGCGATACAAGATTTTGTATCAAGTGTTGTCGAATAGCGGCTATAACACTAGTTTACCGGAACTTGAGCAGCCTTCTGTTTGCAGCAACTGATTGACAACACTGCCTTTTCCATTATTGAATAATCATTTGATTTATCTAGCTGTTGTTTTCAAATACTAGAATAGCTTCTAGTTTTTCATGTTTTTATTTCTTTTTCTTCTTTTTGCTGATGCCAGAACTCTGTACCAAGACCAATAGCAAGGATTGCAGTAACTTTTGTGGCTGTGAGTGCTTTGCTTTTTGTATTCAAGTCTATCCTCTCTACAGTTTTCTTCGTATTGGTAAGTCGTCTATTTTTTATATTTTAAATTGTTACTAGTACCGACGTGTTGTTGTCAATGTCGTATTTGGTGTTCGTATCGTAGATCACAATTGTAGCACTTAACTTCACAGATGCATCTAACACCCCCAATATAAACACATATTTACAAAATATAAGCCATTAACAACAACAGAATAAGCCATATTCCTTTTATAGGGTTGAATTTTTTTCTTAAAATTGAATGTTTTTGCAATGATTAAGATAGTTCTACTAAACTTGAAGCTTCTTTGCTATATCTTTAGGCTACCATAGGACTTGCATACTTTGCATACCTAGCATTCAATAAAGATCAAGGACCACCTAGCGGGAATGGAGGATCTACAACCAAACCTATGAATGATCCTGTGGAAGAAGCTAACAGAATAATGGACAAATACAAGTAGCATCATCAGAGTGAGTTATTTTCAAGTTGGAACCATTCAATTTCTACATTATACATGTAAAGCTCTAATATTGTTAGAGGTAATGAGAAAGGAAAGACTTTGATAGAATGGAATTGTCATCACATATGCGGATTTTGTTTTTCATTTTCTTTGATCATAATATAGCCTTTTACGCAGCCTCGGTTTATAATGACATTTTCTATGGGCACAAATATTGGATAAAGCGTGTTTGAATCTGACACTAACACTGACACGTGTATAAAACCATTGTCAATGTGTTAGTGTTAGTATCGTCGTGTGTCCGGTGTCTGTACCAAATCATCATGACAGACAAAATATTCTGCACCATTAGAAATGTATGTTTCCACCGTGCCCAACAATGTTATAGCTGTCTGTACCTTTTTGCATTTCTTCAAATGTGAATTTCTGAAGGCTTCACTGTTCTTTAGCATGCTTATAAGTTTTTTTAATTAAGATGGCAACATTATCATTTGAGGTTCAGAAAAAAAAACTGCAGAATGATATGAATTTATAATGTTGATATTACAAAATAAATAAAATATTGGAGTGGATCACTGATTTTAAAATAAAGAGAACAATTTAATGAGTGAACTATCGCAAAAGATTATAAAAAAAAACTAATACTAATTTTAAATATTAAATTAGTGTATCTCTTAAATAAATGGTTTAATAATATTGTATTTAAAGATAATTATTTTTAAAACTTTAAATTATCAAAAATTAAATTTACCTACTTTTATATTATTAGAGCCACAATAATGATAAATTCATTATTTATAAATATAATCAAGATTATATAAAAATATCTGACAAAAGAGAAATAAACTGCTGTCACTATGGTCAAATCAATTTTTTTTTTAAATTATATTTATTATTCTAAGAGATACAATATTGATATGTATGAACTTTTGTATTCACGGTAAAAGATCAATTAATTCTGGTGTTAAAAAATCAACAACAGAGAAATCTCAATCAAATTTACACATACATATTTCTCTCCTATACACTTATATACGAGAACATTTTGATTAGAAAGTTAAACACTAGATCACTTAAAAATTCTACTAAAACTTGGGGAGTAAACAATTGCCAAACTCGAAACACTCAGAAAAATTAGACATTTATGTTTGTCCTATTATTATCATACATATAACCCAATCAAAATTGCCCCTTATTATATAATAATCAAAATAAAACATTTACGCTAATCATTTCCAATGAAGGACTATAAGTTATGGGAAGCAAATCCCTGTCATGAGAGTGATATATGATAAGAAAAATGGTAAATATAATTACATTAAAAATGTGTTAGATATGTTTATCATAAAAAAGGTCAAAATTGTAAGTACTCCATTTATTATTCATTTTAAATTGAGTTTATAACAATGCCCTACAACTGAGAAATATAAATAATATATGGAAAAGGTTTTGTATACAACTAGTATTGACAATTTGATGTGTATTATATTATGCACAACGACTAATATTACATATGTTCTCAATCACTTTTAGATAAAAATCATAACAAATAGTGAAGTGGATTACTAGATATCTTAGATTTTTTTTGTAATAACTAGGTATTAAAAAAAAATTCCACAAATAATCATGTTTCGGAGAAAATTACGCAAATAACCATGTTTCAGAAAATTTCATAAGGAAGGAGCCAATCCAGTTGGCGCATGCACCTTATTTTAAAGGGGAGGCGTCATCTCACTTGGCGCCTATGTGTAAAAGGCTTGCCCTAAGCCAAGTGAGATGGCGCCTTAGTGCAAATGGCAGATAATTTTTCGCGTTTTTTATTTTAAATGCGGTACGATACGTAAACGATATACAATCAAGAAAATTGACTTTTTATTTACACAATATGATTACACACATAACAATTACATAAAAAATACAGATTAATCAGTGGTCCCCCAAAACCCGGTAATGACCCCCGGTTCCGCATCCTCGTCCTCGCCTTTCCCGTGCTGGGTTTTGTCGCGTTTTCTGTTGTGGCAAGATCGATGGCCCAGCGAAGTCAATGCATTCAGATCCATGAAAGCGGTCAGATATCCATATCTAGAAGATCTGCTTTGGTACATTCGGTTACCCATACCTTCAAAGTTTGGTCGTGTTGGTGGTGGGTGGGGTTCCATGGTTGGTCCGTAGCACTGGTCGTCTGAGTACGGGGGTAGAAAGGAAATGGATCTTGGGGTGTTTGGTATTGGGAATGTTGGGTGCTTTGGTGATGTGGTGGTTGATGGTAAGTTGGGTCGGTTGGTTCATAATCTTCAGAAAATCCCAGATCAGGGCTAAGGTTAGATGTTGAGAGGCCCATATTGGGATATGTAGAAGACTGAAATTATGTATGGGGCATGCGGGTGTATTGTTATTGTGATTGAAATTGTGGTTGGGTGTGAGGCATACGGGGGTATTGGTACTGAGGTGGTGATTGTGGTTGGTTGTGGGGTATGTGGGTGTAATCATATTGTGGTGGTGATTGTGGTTGGGTGTTTGTGGTTTTGTTTCGTCGGGGAGGTGTTTACCGTGGTTTTTGATAAACAACCGCTGGTCTCCAAAAGGTAAGTTTTTTGGTTTACTTGCGGGATCGACCAAACTAATCCCAGAACATATGCTAATCTTTATGTAAAATGAGTAAGAAGGAAGAACGCACGTTCGACCCAGGGGAAAGATGTTTAAGATAGTTAAACAGTAAGCAAAAGCATAAAAATGCAAGTAAAAGAAATAAAAAGATGACTTTGCAGGATAATGGTAAAGTAAAGTAAAAAGACTTTTATTAAGTAAAAAAGGTGTTTCTAACGTACATTGCTTTACTTTTATCCTTTCTCACGCAGTAGTTACTTGGATAATATTTGAGAGATTTTGTACCATAAGTTGAACACCCTTAAAAATTACACAAACTTCTTAATTTATACTAAAAGTAGGTAACCGTCGAGGGGACATTCTATGCTAGGATGAAGACAAGTGTCTTCTGCATGCCTCTCGACCCATAGCTTTTTGCCACGTTCCTTTCTCTTAGACGCTGATGAAAACCACCTTTCTCTCCAATAATTCAAATTTCAAATGGTCTTCGTCCCATGTGCCAAGACGCGAACACTTTCCTTCAGTCGAACAGCCTAAATCTGCTTCAGTCGAACGAACCCTCGGTCGAAGGCTCTTATCATAACTTAGATCCTTTTTCCTAAGTTATCTCGTGTGTCGAATCATACCTCCTGGTTTAGTTCATTCCAGTTGTTTGGTCCAAAAGACCAAATATAGTAAGTGTCGAATCTGAGAGCTAACAAGTTGCCCCCCAAGAATGTCTATTTCGACGCCCAAAGAAATAGCCATTCTTTGAACTTCCCATTCGACATCTGTCTTCCCAGTTGTCTACCAAGTTTTTGACGTGTGCTTTTCGCCTTCCAACAACTGCTATACTTGGTAAAACCATCATTACTTTTCTCCAAGATGTCTCTTCAAAACTGCCGTTACCACGCTTGTCATGATGGCCATATTCCTATAATCTAGGAAAGCATGTCCCAACGTTTCCCAATGCCTGCACGATAATCGTTTCATACCTTGCCACGTGCCCCACTACCTGCGAAACATTAAATGCCTTTGACGAGACATCTCCAACTTCTGAAGGCTATAAATACTTCCAAGCTTTTCTATTTAGAACTTTTATCATTTTCAGCTTTTCCAAACCCCTTGCATTCTCACAACATTGTACTGTCACCTTCGCTCTTTCTCTTAAGTCTTTAACAATGGCCTTTCTCTCTAATGCCCCAAACAATCCGCAACCAAAAAATGCTAATGATGTTCAGAAACCACCAAAGATCTTTTCCACCAACCCTTCTTCTTCCTCGACTAACAGGTACGTTGCTGAACCTATGAGAGAATGGCGAGAAGCCTATGATTCTCAACTCCTTATCCCCGTCAGATACGGCGGAAACATGTATGCTATGTCCGGCCCGTTATCTACATGCATCGAAAATCCCTTAAAAAACCGTGCCTTTTTTCCTACACGCCCAAGGCTTAGACCCATAGGTTGTGCCAAAAAACCTAGGGCAGACCCTGAAGATGCTACACCGGCTAACCAGCAACATCCTCAAACTACTGATGATATCAACCTCCAGTTCATGAACAAAGGGAATCGATTCTTTAGATCAAGCCCTAACCTTTCTTCTGAATACTCCGACTGGTTGAATAAAATGGAGAGGGTGCAAGCTTCTGTCTGGAAGGAGATGGGCATCTATGACTTAGTGATGCTGTCGAAGACAGGGTTACCTTATTGCCCCCTTATGCTGGTGTTGTACCCCAAAATTTGCCCTTCCATATTCTTCAAGATTTGCCAAGATCAAGCTTCAAAATCTCTCAAGGGTTGCACAGTCCAATTGCCTCCTAACACAGTCAAAATTAGGGTTTTGGTTATGGCAAAGAAATTGAAGTTTTCAAGGGTCCAATCAAGTCCCACATGCCTATAAACATTGTCAAGAATCCTTATGTCAAGTTTCAAGACTCACAGCATCAAAATGCACAGTCAAAAACCCTAAATGCTCCACAGTCAACTGCAGGGGTAAAATGGTCATTTGACAGTCAAAAGTCCAAATTTTTGGTCAACATCTTATTTTGAAGCCACAAACATCATTTGATCAATTCTTGATCATGATTCTCAAAGCATGGCTAAAAAGTCTCAAGATGCAAAAGTTTCTATTTTTGGACAGCTGAAAAAGTCAACTGCAAATTGACCAAGGCATAACTTCTTCATGGTTTATCAGAAAAATCCCATCCAAAGCTCATTTTGAAGAGAATGACATTTCCTACAACTCATCTTCACACTTCAAGTCCTAGAAATGCTCTCACAAAAAGTTATCAATTTCAACATTATAGGTCATTTTCAAAGGTCAACAAAAAGGCACTTTAAGTCAAAGACCATAACTTGAGATTGGTGAATCAAAATGACATGGGACCAAAGACATTGGTTAGAGGACTTCAAG